TAGGAATAAATTTGGAGAGATGTGGCCTAATCTTATTTTTAACTTTTTTAAAATTTCAAAATATTATGGGGGTACAGATGTTTTTGGTTACACGGGTCTCTGTTGCAATGCTTGAGTTAGGGCTATAAGTGTGCCCATCACCCAGACAGTGTTCACTGCACCCTCCTCCCCCCTCCCCCTGCTTAATTTCCCCTGAGTTTTCTTCCCTCTGTGCACATGTGTGCTCATTGGCTAGCTGCAGTTTAATAGCAAGTGCATGTGCTGTTTGTGGCCCAATCTTAGATGTGTCTTGGTGACCAGTGAAGGCCATGAAATTCAGAAATACAGAGAAGTTAGTTCCCCATGAGGCAAATTTTGGCCAAAGGAAAACAGGAGAAGGGAGAGGGCTGGACAAATGATTTCTCCTTCCTCCCTCGTTCTGCTGGACTGCTCAGAGCAGGGATTCTTTCACACAGCCTGACCAGAGACCTCGTGCTGAGCAGGTACGTCTATCCATTGGCCTGCTTTGATATCCCAGCCCATTGTGTTAACAAATAGTAGTGACCTTTACAGCAAATAGTAGTGACCAGTTTTCTTGGTATTAGGTTAAAGCTGCTATCCCATAGTCTGCCCAAGACGTGATTAAAAATCACGGTGCTCACCAGTCTGCTTACAGGATTCTCATGCGTAACTCTTCTTTTTGGGTGGGCGTAGTTCCAGTTCAGAGTCTCTCCCTTCTTGTCATTTATAGTCTCACTAAATCTCTATTATGATTGTTCAAAAATCTCCTGTTTTCTCCACCTACTTTTAAAAAAATCTTTGTGTCTTTATAATTCTGGATTCACAGCCTTATAAGCCTACCCCAAATTATGTGCACTTCTTGTTTGTACATTTTTATACTAAGATCAGGATAAAATTTAGCATATTTAAAAGCAAACAGCATGTTTGTTTTTAGTTATCTCTGGTTCCTCTGGGTGACTCCTAATCCACATATATATTACCATAAAGAAAGAAGGAACCATAATGGGTGTGGCGCGCACCAACTGGGGGTTGGACACGCTTGAAGCGCTGGCACAGAGGGGAAGAGGGGCGGCAGGGGCAATATATGTAATCCCAACAATATTTGTACCTCCATAATATAATGAAATAAAAGGAGGGGGGAAAAAAAGAAGGAACGAAATAGTTGTACAAAGAATGCCCACAAAATGGATTATTTGCTTTTCAGAGTCTGGCCAGTTATGCCACAGTGTGAAACAGTGACTTAGGTGAGAAATTGTTTTCTGGATTAACAACAAGTTGTAGTAATGGGAAAAGATTTCTAGTCTAAATTTGCAACTAGCCAACTGGATGACCTTTCATAATTGCTTATACTTTTTGGGTCTTAATTTCCTAAAATGCTAAATATGTAGGTTAAAGCTGAAACTTTAATTCAATAGTCACTGGCTCTGAAAATCAGACATTATTCTCTTTCTGAATCAATCACTCAGAAACTACAGAAATGGCAAGGTACAAGTTACCCTTTTTTTTTATGAAGAAAATGTGCTTTAATGGGAAGGGGATAGGTTTTAGATCCTCACATACCTGGGCTGGAATCTCATTCTACGCTCCACCAGATTATCTAGGGTGAAATTAATCAACTTCATTCAGCCTCACTTCTGCATCTGTAAGCAAGAATTGTAATATTTGCCTCAGAATTGTAATATTTGCCTCAGAATATTTGCCTCTGAGGTGCCGATAGCATGGCACATAGTAGATGCTCAATAAATGGTAGTTATTCTTAATGCTGTTGTTCTACTTATTTATTTGAAGAGAAGACATTCTTCTGACTGGGTGGCTTGAAGGAGAATCGGGTGCTGTAAAGAGCTTAATAACTGCTAAATTATCCTAAAATGTTAAATACAGAAATGTTTAAAGTAAAACAGGAAAATTCCCTTCACCTTTCTTCCAGTTCCACTGCCCATGTATGTATCTGTCCAAATTTCTTTATGTGAAATTTCTATATGTGAAATTATATGTACATAAATATAATTGATTTTATAAAACACCAGATTGTGTTATATATACTGTCAGATAAAAATATTTTTGAGTGGTGAATGGGAAGAAACAATGAACATTTTCTTGGTTCGATAAGAAAACAGTGCCTCTGAAGGAAAAAATCAGCTGGGACCAAAGTGGAAAGAAGGTATCTCCATGCCCCTGCAATTGCTTTTTACAGAAATTCTTTAGGTATTAATTTTGTTTGACATTAATCACAATATTATAAAAGAAATAAGGCTTCAGTATTAAAAATCATTATTCAAATATCCATGTTGGGCAAACTAAAATCACATATACATTGCCTAATTTGCATGAAGTTTTATGAGCATGTGGATCACAAATGAGTGACAAAATAACTCTCCTGGATTCTACTAGGTCCTTTTCCTGCAAAGCTACTTACTTTCAGCAGCCTAGCAAGGTTTTGCAAACATAGAGGATGGTTGAATCTGAAAAGGATACAGACTCTCCACTGTTATTTGTTACTCCATGTACAAACTGACCTAGTTATAGTTGCCATGGATACTATAATTTTGGATTTAATCATATTCTCTAAAGGAGTAGCAATACAGCTCTACAAAATGCTGAAATCAGTCTGAAGCTCCCAGCCCTGAAAGGTGAAGAAACTGAGTCAGAGAGGCTAAGTGGTCTATCCCACACCAAGAGGGAAATCAGAAAATTCATGTGGAAATCTCAGAATTAAGGAAGCTAAGATCCATGATTAGTTCAGTGGTCAATATGCTTTTCAAAGGCACTTAAGCCATAAAGAAGGCTTCTTGGCTTAAGTGATTTACATGAGTCCTTGCTGCACTTATTAAAACTACACTTTTTCAGGCCAGGCGTGATGGCTCACGCCTGTAATCCTAGCTTTCTGGGAGGCCGAGGCGGGTGGATTGCTCAAGGTCAGGAGTTTGAAACCAGCCTGAGCAAGAGCAAGACCCCATCTCTACTATAAATAGAAAGAAATTAGTTGGCCAACCGATATATATAGAAAAAATTAGCTGGGCATGGTGGTGCATGCCTATAGTCCCAGCTACTTGGGAGGCTGAGGCAGGAGGATCACTTGAGCCCAGGAGTTTGAGGTTGCTGTGAGCTAGGCTGACGCCATGGCACTCACTCTAGCCTAGACAATACAGCGAGACTCTGTTTCAGAAAAAAAAAAAATACACTTTTTCTCCTAGTCATCTACAACTATTGCTTTTCACCTACAAGGGAAAAAGCACAAACATTTACTTGGAGTCAATATACCAATCTCTCACAACAAATAGGTTTCTGCACAAATGAAAACCAAGTGAAGTGCAAAAGATAATGCCTGGAAGTAGAACAAAGGATCATTTGATGGTCATATTTTAGGAGTCCACAGCATATAAACCTGCATGTAAAACATGGTACTAATATGACCATGTATATTTAAATATTCAACCATAATATTAAGATTTTGCTATTCAATAAATATTTCTGTTTATTCATACTTATAATAAAAGAAGCAGGAAGCTGGCTGCTTACAATTAAAATTAAAACTAACTATAATTCTATCTCATACTTAGAAGCTATCTAACATTGATTAGGTACAGATTTTAGGAAATAAAAATGGGAGAAATTGGACAAAGGGGGCAAACAAAATTCTGAATACTTCTTGGAAAATAAGGATAATTCATCTCTTGCATCAATTGTTTTGACCAAAGTTGTTGTTCTGTTGAGTAACTGTTAAATGAATTTTGAAAAATCAGAAACTATTAGAAATTGAATCCAGTGATGTGGCATCATTAAATAGATGGTTTTCAAAGATTCCAGTGGCACTTTTCTTGCTTAGGAGGCTGGTTTTGATCATAGCCAGGCCATCCCATGCATTTGCAAAGATTCTTTCCCTTCCCAAGATAAATTTCCCTCCTGACAATCTTGAAAACCTTGTAATGGATGATTCATTATAGCTGAGACAAAGGCCCAAATACTACCATAAGTCATTGGTAACATTACTTCTGTCAAGAGGATAAAAACATTAGAAGGTTTACCTCTTTCCCATCCTCAGCTCCCATCCATTGTTTGCTGACAGGATTATGCTGCTGTGTGGTCAGTGCATTAACTGAAATTGTTGCTATCAGGAAGCACAGCCGTGAATATAAAAACACAGCTACAAGATAGCAGGGCCACTATGAACAATTTATAGGTGAATAGGGAGCTCTCAAAGTTGGCTTTATGGTCATCTCACAAATGCATTAATGACCTCATCCTTGAGGAAATAATACTCTCTGATTTTCTCTTTTGTTTCCAGATCTATATTCTTCCTTTCCAGGAAAGAAGGTATTAATCATAGAGAGGGGAAAAAAATCTGTAGCTAAGCCTGTCCCCACAAATTGGTAGGCTGCACATGATTGTAAGCTCTTGTGCCTGACTCCCAACAATAGCATTTATTGAGCTCAGATTGCTAGTCTCGAGGGTTTCAAAGGCAAAGATCTTGAGCTCACAATCTAACGGTAGTCACTGAAAACCAGAGCTCCCTCTATTATGACAGAGGTATGCTGACCTGTAATTTCAGAGGTGGGAGGGAGCAATTGTTCTCAGGAGACAGAAGGAAAATGTCACAGAGGAGGGGACATTTCAGCTATATCTTGAATGATGTGTAGGATTTCACCAAGATGAGGAAGGCAATTCCATGTATAAGAAACAGCGTGAATGAAACCAATCTCAAAAGAAAACAGAATACAGAGAATATAATGAGTATGTAAGTCGGATTGTATTTTCCAAAGATAGCCACAGCAATCTCCCCCATTCCGTATGCTCTCCTTGTAATGTGATTCTGATACTCTTTTTGTTGAGTAGGATCTGTGTTCCCGTTGAGAAGGCCACCTTTGGGACCATGGTGGAAGTGGTGACATGTGGCTTCACAGGATGGGCCATAAAACGGGATAGGCTACCTGCCTGGGTCTCCTAGCACGCTCCTTTTTGGAGACCTGAGCCGCTATTGCAAGTGTCTGACTTCCCTCAAGGTGCTCTGCGATGGAGGCGGCCCAGACTCGGTCCCAGGAAGAGATTAAAGACAGAGGCCCTGAAACTGCGAAGGGAAGAAGGAGCCTGATGGACCCACAGCTGCTCCAGCTCCAGCCAACATCTGCCAAGAACTATGTGACAGACCCACGTTGGAACTGCTTCGCTGAGCCATTCCCAAATTCCTGATCCACAGAAACTGTGAGCACTGAGACAAAGATAATCATTGCTTTAAGTAACTAAGTTTTAATATTTCCAATTTGTTATTCAGGAGTTAATAACTAGAACGGTAAGTACTTGAAAATGAAACCTGAACGTCTGAGGACTAAAGAGCATTTGGATTTCTTTCTACATGCAGTGGGAAATAATCCATCAAGCTTTTTTTTAAAATCTGGAGAATGACATGATCTGATTTATAGTTTAGAAAGGAAATTTGAGAGACATTGGGCAAAAGGAATTGGAGCAGAGAGACACCAGAGACAGGGAGAATGTTTGTAGGAATTTTCCAAGTTGAACTATGCACGAACATCACTTGAGATGCTTGATAAAATTTCAAACCCCTGAAACTCACCACAAAGAATAAAGGAAAGGTGAGGGGGATTGTTCCTAGGTGTATTTAGTGGAGAAAAGAAGAGTCCATTCACTGCACACTTGCTACATGTCACACAGCTTGCCAGGCACGTGGCATGCGGCAGCATGGCCGAGACCACAGGCTCTCCTGCAAGAGGGGCCTGAATTCGAGTTCTGACTTTATCCTTTACTATCTGTGTGATGTTGGGAAAATTACTTAACTTCCCTGAACCTGTCTTCATAGTATTTGTAGTATTATACTGTAGTATTAACCTGTCTTCGTATATTATTTGTAGTATTATACCTTTCTTGCTATTTATCCTTGGTATAATCCTTACATATAGTAATTGCTGAATAATAATAAATTATTGCAAATGTTCTCAGAAGTTCTATTCCCACGTATTTCAAAATTCTTATCCCCTTAATGAAATCCCTTCCCTTCCGGCTTCCACCTCTGACACTTCACTGAAACTCCTTTGGAAAGCCGGCCAGGTGATCAACATTGTGCCAACTTAAAAGAGCTGCTTTCAATTTTCATTTTATTTGGCCTCTTGGCTGACTGACGACCCCTTCCTTTTGGAAAATCTTGTCTAGACTTTTGGGACGTCGCACCCTGTTGCTTTTCTCCTATCGCAGTGGTCTCTGTCCTCTGTCATCTTTGCTGTGTTTTCTTCCGAACTCACTTCTAAATTTAGAGTTCTCTTGGGCTTGATGTTGCTCCCTCTTCTGGATATGTTTTCTTCTTAGATGACCTCGTCAATCCATGGCCTTCAAGAATATGTATATTCTGATGGCTGCAGTTTTTCATCTAAAATCTGAATAGAAACTCCAAATTTATAAATCCAAAGCTTACCTGACATTTCCATTCCATCTCTTGCAGGCACTTCCCCAATGTATCCGAAATAGAATTGTTGACAATCCCAACAAACTTACTCGTTCTCTGTCCTTGTTTCTTACTATATTAGCACAAAGCACTAATATCCTCCCACTTATTCAATAATTGAAAACCTAGACTTCATCTGTCATTCATCATTTACTCATCCCTCTCAATCAAACCACCTACCCATTCTGTCAGTTCAACTTTTATAAAAGGTATTTTGAATTCATCAACTTTTCTCCATGCCCACCACCACATTCTAGTCCAAGCATTTACTCCCATAATAATTGCCTAACTTTTTCTCTCCCTCCTCTAATCCAGTTCCTGCGATTTCTGTTTTGGAATTGTGAGTTCTACAACCTAATAGCACCTGGGGTCGTAGAATCCTGAAATCACATAATGCTAGACTTGAAAAAGATGTATGTATCATTTAATCTATATCCTGCATTACTAAGTATAGTCTAGGTTATGCTATAGTAATAAAAAGCCCCACATCTCAGCAGCCTAAAGTGACAAAGGACTCTTTCATGCTCAAACCACACAATCATCATGTGATGTCTGAGGGCTCTGCTCTGAGCCCGCCCCATTCCAGGGTTCAGCTAGTGGAGCAGCCAGTGCCTGGAATTCTGTCGCTCCCATCAATGAAGGAAAGAAAGGTACGGAAAAACATATACTGTGTTCTTAATACTTTCCCCTAAAGTAACATACATCACTTTTAATTAATTTCTTTGGCCAAAGCAAGTTACATGGCCACACATAAATTGAAAGGATGCAGGGCAGTGTAATATTTCCATGTGCCTAAATGGAGAACCAAAAGTATTCGATGAATAGCACAAATGGCCAACTTTCCATTATGTTTTACAGATGATGACAATGGGACCTAGAGAGGTTGTGTCAGTTGTAATGTCATGAAGCTGCCTTACATCATAGCCATGACTCAAACTGTCATGGAGTCACTGTCTAGTGCTCTTCCTAGTAATGAACCACGAACCGCTTGTTTCCTACTCCAAATAAAATATATTTAAATGTCTTAATATCAAAATTTTATTCATATAAACTCCCTGTATTGAAAATGTTTTTGCATCTTTGCCAAAAAAACATAAAACAGACAGCTGAGAGGTCTCGTTCCTCCAGTGTTGCTTATTCTCTAATGAGATGCCCCAAAACACTCAAAATGTCTCTGGCCTGGCTGTTCTTATTTTTACCAGAATGAAATCATATTTTATGCTTGTGATTCTAAACACACTGGCTTAAGAAATGCCAAGGAATTAAGCAAGAGAATCATGAATCTATATGTATACCGAGCATCGTTAAGTCTGTTAGAAATGTATTCACAAGAATTCCAGCCAACAATGGCTTAGCCGAGGGAGGTTTATTTGACCCTTATGGCAAGCAGTCTCAGCATGGATGGCTGCAGGTGTTGGTCGTTGTATCTCAACGGTATTGGAGCCCATGGATCTCCTGGTCTTTTCTCCTGAACACAGGACAGCTGTGACCACTCTTTGCATTATACCAAGTCTAGAAAGGGAGGGAAGATTGAAGCCAGCTGCGGCTGCCCCCCCCCTTTTTTGAGACGACTCTCACTCTGTTGTCTGGGCTAGAGTGCCGTTGCATTAGCCTAGCTCACAGCAACCTCAAACTCCTGGGCTCAAGTGATCCTCCTGCCTCAGCCTCCCGAGTAGTGGGACTACAGGCATGCGCCACCATGCCCAGCTAATTTTTTCTATATATTTTTAGTTGGCCAATTAATTTGTTTCTATTTTTAGTAGAGACAGGGTCTCGCTCTTGCTCAGGCTGGTTTCAAACTCCTGACCTTGAGCGATCCACCCGCCTCAGCCTCCCAGAGTGCTATGATGACAGGCATGAGCCATGGCGCCCGGCCTGCGACTGCCCCTTTTATTGGAGAAGCAAAACCTTTCCCAGAATCAATACCCTACCTCTTATTTTACCAGACTGCTATTGAGGTCCCATTTGCCAGGACTGGGGTTACATGTCCACCTCTGGCAGCGAGGGAGTTAGAAAAATAGAAAACAAAATTACCATTGATTGGCCAAGCCTCATACTGTCTAGAACAAAATAAGGGTTCTGTAGGCAAGGAATGGCAGAGGGGTAGGAGGTGGCAGGAACAAAGACTTAGTAAGTAACAGTGTCTGCCTCACTCATTCATTGAATACAACGTAGGTTTGAAAGTATTTATTATTTTTAAAGTTTACCCAGAAACTGTTGTGAATAAATAAAATATATATTTACCACTGAGCTCACAGCAGCTATGTGATGTATAGTGAAAAAGTGAAAAATACAGTTGTGCCTAGTGACAATGTTTCAGTCAACCTCTGCGAATACGGTGGTCTCGTAAGATTGCAACATTGTATTTTTACCATCCCTTTCCTACCTTTAGCTACAGATACTTCCTGCTGTGGTTTGGATGTTTGAATCCTCCAAATCTCATGTGAAAATCTGATCTCCGGCGTTGGAGGCGGGCAGCAGAAAGCGTCTGGGGACAGTCCCCCATGCCCAGCGGCGAGAGCTGCTGGCTGGAGGAGCCTGGCTGCTTCCTTCCTCTCGCTCGCGCCTCCTCGGATGTGGGCACCAAGCTTCTCCTACAGCCTGCAGAACCAGGAGCTGAATAAAGCTCTTCTGTTTATAAATTACTCAGGCTCAGATATTTCCTTTACAGCGAGGTGAAATGGACTAAGACACTGTCATTGTGTTCCGTTTACCTGCAATATTCGGAGCAGTAACCTACTGGGGCGATGGCCTGTTCCCCAAGGCCTGGATGTGTACAGGCCCTGCCGCCTGGCCTCGTGTGTAACAGCACTCCATGATGTTCCCACGATGACAACACTGCTGAAGGATGCATTTCTCAGAGCGTATCCCCGTTGTTAAGCAATGCAGGACTATATAATACAGCTACTACAATAAGTTTTGCCATGATGCTTGTTTTGAAAAATGACTTTAACAATATTGATAAATTAGGAAACTGAACATAACACAATTTCATATTTGCTTTTGTGCGAATGCAGAACACCGTATCCAGATGACCTGAGCCACGTAAGAATACGCAGAACCCCACACACCCTCAAATATCGCCTGTGGCCTCAGTTTACTGCCTGTGCTGTGAGCTATACCCATCCAGGCCGGTGCTGTGCATTTCCCTCTGATTTCAAATAATGCATCTCCCACCATCTCACAATGACTCATCAGCTGTGGCCTGAGGCCCCCTTCCACAAGCAAATGCCAGGTCTTTTTCAAGATAAAGGGTCATATTTACTGTAGTAGTTATGTATTTCTTAAACATTTATCATGTGTAAAACCATGCTGCCATTTGTATTAGTTTTCTATCTGTTTTTTATGGACCACTGACAAAGTTTCTGAGTGCTATGTCTCTAAACCTCTTATTTCCCATAAATTCTGTAGTTTTAATTGCATAATTTTGCAGTGGTACTATAAATAATATATCTCTGGTAGTTACCAGGTGAAAAATACATGTATGTGTGTATATATGCCTACATACACACATATATATTAGAAAACAATTGAGATTTTTTAACATAAATCAAAAAAGCTCTTTTTACATCTTAGAGGTAAATATGCCTTTGAAAGTAGTTGTTAAATGCTTGGGAAGATTTTTTTTAAAAATGACTGTCAATTATATTAAATAAAAGCCATTCACTATGCCAAGCTATATATAGATATCTCTATAGTGAGTGAAGATTTGTCATTCATCTTTTAAGATAATTATGCAAATTGTATTTAGCCCACACATCCTGAGTTGGGAAAATGGTTTTTGTCTCTTTGTCCTCACTTATAAATCTTGTGGAACAGGCGTTTCGGGTGGGCCTTTAGGACAGAGGAGACTCCGTTGGGCTCCGCAGGGTCTCTCCTGTTCACCGGCACGCAGGCCCTCAGCACCTTCCCAGAGCTTCTGAGAGCCCCCCCCCCCCCCCGTGAGAGAGCGCAGTAAATACGAGGAAAAACAACTTCAAAAAAAATTAATGAAAGGCCCATCGCTACTTGCCCTTCTCTTCCCCCTCCTCGCCCCTGTCCTTCCACTCTCCGTGGGTCTCTTGGGTCTCGAGCCTCTTCCCTCCTCTGCGTTCCCGAGGGGACCTGCCCGTTCCTGGCACCACACCTGTGGAGCGAGCCGTGAAAACGTCCTGCAGAAATCAAGCCCTGGCACAGTGCTCGTCCTCCTAAGGACCAGAACGCAGAAGGGCAGGATGGGGCCACGAAGGGAGCGACGCCAGGCCAGGCGGTGTGGGCAGTGACACGGGCGGGCGCCGGGCCTGGGCGCGCGTCCGGAGCGCGGGGCGGCTCGGCCAGCGCGCTTCAGCAGCCTCTGAGCGCGCGAGGTGGCTGCGGGACCGAGCGCCAGTCATCGCTCACAGGACTCGCACTCACTCTTGGATGCAATGCAATTCTCCCAGCCCTGCACCGACTCTGAGGGTCACAGGCGAGGGACTCCGGCCAAAGGCCACGCGGAAGCCCGGCCTGCCGCCAGGCAGCAGGCCGCAGGGCAGCGACCGGGCAGCGACGCACACGCACGGGCACACACGGAGCCACAGGCCGCAGGTGCGGATGTGGACCTCCTCGGCCTCGCCTTGCTCACTCTCCTTTTCCCCAACCCCCAGCCGCGCCCGCACAAAGGAGTTTTGTTTGCTGCAGCAGCAGGTGACCGCAGGGGCCCTGCTTTGCCTAGCTCTGTGCCGCAAGTCTCTCAGGTAACAGGTGGCAGCTTCCCTGTTGGGTTCTAGGAATAAAAAGAATGACCTCATAGGGTGGAGCTCTGGGACTCCCAGAGAGGTGGCAGGCACAGCCGTAACCCGGAGTGAAGCAGTCGACTTGAAAGGGGCAGTTAAAGCGGGCCCTCCAGCGGCCCCAACCTGGCCTGGGCACCTTAGCGACCAGCCGCCTCTGCAGCCTGTCTTCGCCTCAGATGGAGCCCGAGGAGAGCCCTGGCAGAGAGCACCTGGGCGCCAAGAGGAAGAACCTGAGCTTCCCGAGGCCCAGGCTCTGCACGCTGGAGAGAAGGAAGACGGACACTGCGGTGGAGGGCAGCGCTCCCCGGGACCGCTCTGGAGCCTTGAGGAGGAGCCAGTCCGACAGGACCGAGTACAGCCAGAAACTGCAAGGTAACCGGAAAGAAGCGGCCGCCCGCGTCACCACGCTCCCCGCTCCGTTTCTGCTACTCTCCATTTGCAAAAACAATGCTCGAGGCAGAGAAGAGGATCAAACACACCTCTTCTCACACACACGAGCGCGCGCGCACACACAGAAAGGAAATGGGACTTGTAAATTATAGGGAAAAATTTTATTATATAATTCGATAGTTTAAGAGCCAATTCTGAGTTGCTCTTAACCCTTTGTACTTGCTTGCTTTTTTCCTGATTCCTTTATTCTACTCGGGATTTAATTTTTTAAATACCCCAAATTTTACAAAGTGCAGCAGTAGAATAAAAAACTGGAGTTTCTTTTCATACAAACTCATTTATTTGGATTTTTAATATTTCAAATTATTGGTACATTCAAAGAGTAATTTTAATCTGTATAATTTTTGCTAACCGTGTAGAGTCACACTCGACATCCGAGTGCAAAGGGTTAATATTGCTGGGGGTTTTTTTGGTGAGGCTAATATTTTCCTCTATCTTCCCCTTTTCTTCTCCCTTCCCCACCTAATTTAAGAAGTGGGAAGCAGTAGAGAACAAATGATTCGGAACCCTAACGAAACAGTTGGGTGGGAGATGCTGCACCATGAGACCTATCCAGGTAATTGTACGGACCTGAGATTGTGCTCGTCTCAAAGAGGCGCCTGAAACTCTAATCATGTTCATGAAAAACAAGGAATGTTATAGCCAGGGGTGATATAACAGGATTTGCAGAAAATCACGTAGGTGATCATTCCGAGAGTGAATCAAATAACACCCAGATATGGTACGAAATGTTTACCATGCTCCTGTTGAATGACTTTTGAGGAAATAGCCTCAGTTTATTTTGTGATGGTCTTAAGATAATTTGGCACAGTTCTCAACAGAGTGTCCCCTGTTTCAGGCCCTGAATTTCTATCCCTTCCCATCAGCCCTCTCTTTTTTCCTTCCCTACCTCCCGAAGGTCATCTGTTCTTGTAAAACTTCATTTGATGTTGATATTGGGCAGAGTTTTGAGTCTCCACTGCAATACTTGTTATGTGATCCTTCAGAACCTGCCTCTCCTGCTTCCTAGCGCAACACGTGTTTGAATTCTCACTGTGGGCTGTCGTTTTGGACTTAAAAACTATGATGAGGTTAGAAAGACCAATGAGATGTGCTTGCACTTAGCAGATCTCTTTCCTAAAAAATGAGCTTAGACTTGATCATGCAAACTAATTAAGTTAAATAAGTTAAACTCATTTAAATTAAAAATTATTACTATGAGTTAACGCATTAAAAAATTTCTGGTAGCTCAGCACAAAGTGCAGCGTCAGTCTTATTCTTTAAAGAATTTTTTTAAATAAGGGAGGCTGGGTGTTGTTTGATCTTTGAAAATAATTTTCCCAAGGCAATGAACACTCTGGAAAGAATGCAAGTTTTAAAGTCATACATATTTGGTTTCCAATCCTGGCTCTTCAACTTACAACCTATAAGAATTTAAGCAAATTACTTTAAATTTCTAAGCCTTAATTTCCCTGTCTAATGTGGGCTAATGATACTTATCACATAGTATTGGGAGAATGAAATTAGAAAATTATGTGAAACAGCTAGTATATTAGCTGGTATGTGCTCAATAAATAGTACTTATTTTAGATTTTAGGAATAATGAGTACCACAATGGTAAAACAGGACTTGCCCTCTATTAATCCAAGTTTCTATACCTTATTAATATTTTTCGACTCTTTTTTGTCCTTTAATAATGAGATCTCATCTAGAAATTCAAGAAAGGCCCATTGCTTTACCCCTAATAAAATGTTTCTACTGAGTTTCACTAATTCAGCATATTTCTGGTTCAGGTTTTCCATTAGCAAAATAAAAATAGAAAATAACTTTTGCCACTCATTTCCTAAATTTACCTAAAAAACAAGTCTATGGCTACAAAACATAGCAGATATGTGTTGGTTATTTTGCAGAAGACCTCAGTCTTCCTACACACTTCATTCAATTTGTGGCCTTCCTGTGCTCTTTTGGATTCTGCCTTGAAAGAGAAAGGCAAGACTCCGGAGTTAAGTTCTGCTCCCAGAACTGTCTGTGCTTGAGGAAAATCACCAAGGAGCGCAGAGGAGCACATAAGCCAGCCGTAAAGACATGTAGGCCTCCTACGGTTTTTAGATGTAACTCTTAATAAAATCCAATTCTGGGTGGGGCCCTGTGGATCAGGCCTGTAATCCTAGTACTTTGGGAGGCCTAGGCAGGAGGATTTCTTGAGGCCAGGAGTTTGAGACCAGCCTGGGCAACATAGCAAGAACCTTTCTCTAAATAAAAACTTAAAAAATTAGCCGGACATGGTGGCGCATGCCTGTAGTCCCACCTACTTGGGAAGCTGAGACAGAAAGATCCCTTGAGCCCAGGAGTTTAAGTTACAGTGAGCTATGATGGTGCCACTGTACTGCAGATTGGGTGACAGAGCGAGACTCATCTCTAAAAATGAATAAATAGATAAATAAATTAGCACCCTTTGGTGCTACTTAAAAAAAATCCAAATCTGATCATCTAATGCCTAATAGAACTTTCAGCATGGTTCTACTATAACTGCTATAACACAAAAATAGGAGGCATTTTCTCATTAACGTTCAAAGCTCTGGGTTAGTTATCTGGCCTGTATAAACTCAAAGATATAAAGATCATGCAGATGAGTCCTTAGTCACCTTAAAAAGCTCTCTCCTCTCCTCTCCTCTCCTCTCCTCTCCTCTCCTCTCCTCTCCTTCTTTTTTTTGACAGAGTCTCGCTGTGTTGCCCAGGCTAGAGTGAGTGCCGTGGCATCAGCCTAGCTCACAGCAACCTCAAACTCCTGGGCTCAAGCGATCCTCCTGCCTCAGCCTCCCGAGTAGCTGGGACTACAGGCATGCACCACCATGCCTGGCTAATTTTTTCTATATATACTAGTTGGCCAAATAATTTCTTTCTATTTATAGTAGAGACAGGATCTCGCTCTTGCTCAGGCTGGTTTCAAACTCCTGACCTCAAGCAATCTGCCTGCTTCTGCCTCCCAGAGTGCTAGGATTACAGGCGTGAGCCACTGCGCCCGGCCTTTTCCTTTTTTTCTTAACATTTTGGTTATATTTTATATCTTTGCCTCTCCCTAGCAAGGGTTAGAGGTATGCCCTTCCCCTCCACAATGCTCACCGCATGCCTCAGATGTGGGACTACCCCCTCTACCCCCGAATCCCTGGTGAACACCACCACCATTTGAGCACCGTAGTGTTAATCAGTCAGTACAGATTTGATGGTGAGTACGAGTGGAGCCCATTTTCCTGATCTTGTGTCTCCTCACTTTGGATAATGGGTTTAAGCTCAATCCAGGATAATATAAGCCGTGCTAGCTTGCTGTCGTTTCTTAGAATTGAGTAATATTCCATTGTGAACATATACCAAATTTTAATAATTCAGTCATGAATTGACAGGCACTTGGGTTGTTTCCACGTCCTTGCAATAGTGAATTGTGCTGCCATAAACATTCCGGTGCAGATGTGTTTATCATAGAATGTCTTATGCTCTTTTGGGTAGATGCAAACATTTGTTGGTGTGGGACAGGTGGGAGGGAGGAGGAGGGGACGGGTATTTACATGCATAGTGAGTGCGATTTGCACAGTCTGGGGGATGGACATGCTTGAAGTTATGTCCTGAGGGGGAAGGGAAGACAAGGGCAATGTATGTAACCTTAACGTTTGTATCCACATAATATTCTGAAATAATAATTTAAAAAGCTCCTTATTATTGAAATGCCAAGAGCTTTTCCTCTGTTTTCCTCAGGACTGATAGTGCCTGAGAGGCAAATAAACAATTCACTGTTCTAACTCTTTGTAGAAACAAGTTCTCTGGGTTCTGAAAAATATCTTTCTTTGGTAGCCCTGAACTCGCCTCTTAACTCTACTGCACAGTTCCATTCAATTTCTCACATCACTTATATGGGAATCCTAAGTTGTAATAATAATTTTTAAAATGGTACACTGGGTGACAGCTACCAGATTAGAACCATGGAACATGGCTGTAACCAGGACGCCCTAAAACCTCTGTAGAAGATTGTGATCACATCAACACAATGATTTCTAAGAAGCCTCAAGTCCACATGATACAGTTATAGACAAGCTACTGTTAAGTGCCTACCGTCAGGCTACTTCGGTCCTCAAACAGAGCCATTCAGTTAATTGGCATGTATTGAATATGCTCTATGCTGCATCTTCCAAATTAATTTTTCTCACGGCAATAGATTCATTGGAAAGAATGCAAATTTTAAAGGCATACACATTTGGTAAAACTGGCATTTATTGGATGTTTTGTGCTGTCTCGGGGGTTATGATGAAGAGCAAAAACAGAACACGTGCCAGGAATTACAACTAAGGAATCATTAAGGAAACCTGGCTGACCTTTACTCCAAAGAGGCCCGGATCCTGGTGGGGAAGATAAGACGGGCAAACAACGGAGCGGCAGGAGGGAAGCGGAGGCAAGATGGGTGGGTCCCCAGAAGAGGGAAGTGTGCTATCCAGGATGGGTGGGTCCCCAGGAGGAGGAAGTGGGCTATCCAGGATGGGTGGGTCCCAGGAGGAGGAAGTGGGCTATCCTGATGGGTGGGTCCCCAGAAGGAGGAAGTGGGCTATCCAGGATGGGTAGGTCCCCAGGAGGAGAAAGTGGGTTATCAAGGATGGGTGGGTCCCCAAGAGGAGGAAGTGGGTTATCCAGGATGGGTGGGTCCCTAGGAAGAGGAAGTGGGTTATCCTGATGGGTGGGTACCCAGAAGGAGGAAGTGGGCTATCCAGGATGGGTGGGTCCAGAGGAGGAGAGAGTGGGTTATCCAGGATGGGTGGGTCCCCAGGAGAAGAAAGTGGAATATCCAGGATGGGTGGGGGTCTCCAGGAGGAGGAAGTGGACTATCCAGGATGGGTGGGTCTCCAGGAGGAGGAAGTGGGCTATCCTGCTGGGTGGGTAACAGGAGGAGGAAGTGGGTT